AAAATTGATAAAGAAAGTTGGAAAGCGACATCTCTAAAACATTTGCTTTTTAATACCAATTTTTTTTTTTTTTACAAACAGTAACTTATTACATAAAATAAACGTTTAAGAATCTTATATATCAGGGATGGCCAATCTCCAAGACGATGGGAATCGTAAGTCCAAATTTATATCGTTTCAAAAATAATGAAATATTATATTTAAATATTTCAAAAATAATAGGTTTTGAATATAGCAAAACTTTTGAAGTAAATTAATGAATATGTGATTTTGCATATAAATATGAATAAATACATTGTATATCTACTGTTTTGTGTTCAGAAAAGTTGAGTCCCAAGAAAATAAAATTTTTTATCTCCTGTACTGGGCAACTGAGCATTTTTTCTTCAGGTAAAGAAACCAAATATTTTCTTCTGATTTCCTTTATATCTATCCATTTATAATTATTGTTGTTTTATTTTAGTAGAAGTAAAATGAATCGGAAGCATATTCATTTGTCTACAATTGCATAAAAAATGTTATTTGAGTAAATTGCAAATCTTTATGTAAAAGAAAAAAGTGCTTTTTTTTCTTTTAAACTCGTGAGCAGTCTTTCAGAAAGGGTAAATTAAATGATACACATAAATGTGTACTGCAGAAGAGAAACTGTTATTCAAGAAAATAATATTTATTTAAAAATAAGCTATCAACTTATTTAGAATTTTGAAAAGTAATTCTTTTTTTCTCCATACAGTTAATATAAGGACCAACATACTGAGATCATTCGAATCTTTGGATCCTAACCTAAGAAATCATTAAACACTTTTTCCCAAACTTTGGAATAACTACTTTTCCTGATACCCAATATAGAAAAATTCAAACACATACACAAAAAAGAATACGATTGCAATTTCAGTGGTATTTGAATAATAAGTATCTTTCATGATGGCTCTGACCCATACAGTATTCAGCATGGCATCCAACAATTATCAGCCAGAATTTTTTTTAGTAATCATTTCACTGCGCTTCATTGAAAATTCTCGAAACTATCTCTCGAATTGTCCTGATAATTTTGGACATAAATAAAAAAGTTCATGCTCATCATTGAAAATTCTCAAAAATACCTCTTGAATCAGTACGATAATTTTGGATATACATAACCTATTGCTAATAAATCTAGAAGTTCATGCAGTGCTATATAAACACTTCGTCGAGCACGTATTCCAGCCATCTTGGGAACTCTTCAACCTTTTAGGTATTTAATTTTGAGCTGTTTCTCAAATACATGGTTAATCAAAAATAATGTTACAGATAAAAAACATGCTTGTAACTACTATAATTAATTTATTTTATTAAATGCAGATGTAACATGAATGCTTAAGTCTTCATATTTCTGTGGGCATGCACAGATGTTCGATGTGCAGGCCTTTTGTAACATGCAGACATCTGCACAATAGTTTAGTTCCTAAGTTTTTGCCAAATTAGGTATACATGGATCCATTATATTCTCAGTGCTGGACCCATAAAAGCAATCAAATGACTTACCGTCTCGTCATGAATTTCGAAGCTAAATAACTTGGAAGGAAGTTTAAAATAAATTATTGTCAGCCTAATGGTTAGATAGTAAAAATTTCCATTGGGTTCTCAAACATGTGTACAGAAATTAAATCTGAAATTGAGTTTGAAATGGAATCTGTGTAAGCAGGGAATATTTTAGAAAATGAAAGATGAGACATTAAAAATAAACATTTACAGGATAAAAATTTAACATTGTTGCCTGAAATTGATAGTGATCAAGCAGTGGATCATTGCACAACTTTTTGTTAGGCTACTAAGCTTTCATGAAGGACACTGTTATTTTTTTTTTTTTTTCTTCTTAATTTTCGATCATCATTTACGTGTCAGACGTACATAATGATCGAAAATTAGGAAGACAAAAAAATATCAACAGATTAAAAGAAGTGTAATGCTGTTATCAGAGCCAGGGCAGCTGCAGAGTGGCAGTACTAAGGAGTGAAAAATTTTAGATATGCCAGGTCTAACCTACTGAAATATTTACCGGTGACTCTAACCTAGTGCAGCAACATGCCTCTAACCTAATGCGAGGTAGAAAGAAAGAAGGTCATCAAACAAGAAATCGAGAAATACAAGAAAGTATCACAAGCTAAAGAGATTTCACTTATATCAGTATGCCGATTTTGACGGAAATTTTGGAGAAGAGAGATGTTTGTATTCTGTTGATCCCTCATTGCTTGATGCTAACGTTATTGATATGAAGATTTGATGATAAAGGTGAAAGATCTCTATCTGAAATAACAATATTTGATAAAATGGGAATTAAACATTTTGACTAAAATTTAAATCGTTCAGCATCCACAACCATTGGTGAAATAAATTATGTTATCTGCCAAGGAATTATTACGAAAGACAGAGTTTTATGCGGAAAAAGCGTTCGTTAAGCATATTATTGTGAATGTTTGTGAAAACAGTGAGACTGTTGCATAAAAATACCTGAGGGTTAGGAAATTAATTTTGAAGGAGTTCCGCAGAAAACTGAGACAACCAAGTAAAGAGGCTGAAGGTTTACTCCACCAAAAATAAAATCCTCGTAAAATTCTTTCACATATTAAAGGAGCTCTGTATGGATTGCAAGGTGAAACAGGTTTCTTCAGCAGTTATTCATGCCATTCAAGGGCTGAATAAAAGTAGTATCCTACAACAAATAGCAAATCTTCCAGGTGGATCACAACTGTTGTGAACAGTGGGATCAGATACTACCTGAAGTAAAATTAACTTTAAAAATATTAGGGAGGATAATTAAATAAAAATATTAGCATTGCATTTTAGACTGACTTTGTATTAGTGCATTCCGTTGACCATTTCCTCTTCAAAAAGTAACATAACTGGAATAGTAATTAACAGAAATGAAATTATTTGTAATTTTACGTATTTGTTACTCTGACGATAAGCTAGCAGTGGATAGTTTGAAATCCATCAAATTTTCAAATACATAATATAAGAAATTAAATTAGCAATTAATAAAGAAACGAGGCACTGGATGATTTCTACTTCAAATTCCATACGTTTTAAAACATTAAACTATATTTGTTCAACTTTTGTTCCCAACTAGTCGCATTTGAGGTGGCAAGGGATCACAAGTAGCTTGCAAGCTGCAGTTAAGGCGCCGGCGAGCCACAGTTTGGCCATGTCTGTTACATATGTACGTAAATGTATCATTTTGATATCCGCTTTAATGTCTTGTCATTTAATAAGTAATCTTCATTTAGCAGATTTTTTAACAGTAGCCCTTAATAAATAATTTTTCCTTGTAAAAACTTTTTTTTTAATGATGTAATTTTTTCCAGATTTTTTTAGCTACACAATACAAATTCCGAAATCGAGACGTCCATTATCTGAAGTGATCTAAAATCCGGACTTCAAAACCATCAAAGTTTTTCTCGTAGGCTTTACACATGCGCATTTGATTCCCCCCTCCGCGCATTATAAAGCATCTGGAGGGTCCCGATTCTTAATTTCACTTCGACACTAAGTAAATTACCTTGTTATTGAAGAAACAATCATTTTAGCATAAATTGGTATGATTGGTAATTTGGCTCCATTGCTGCGTATCTGCTTCGCACACATCTCAAACTGAAACATTCCACATAGATACATCATTGATTTGACGCCAACCTGGCAAATCATTATTTATTATACTTTACTTCACCACGTGTTTATCAAAACATGACAACTTGAGTAATGACTCATGTAGCGATGCCTAAACAATTTTTTTATGTTAATAGTTAAATAATAAAGGAGATGGTAACCTTTTATGTTGACATTACACTTGGCGATGATTACAGATTTCAGTTAAGTGGCGCTAAGAAGATGTTGACAAGGAAAAATTTAATAAAAATTTCTTTCCATATACCAAAAATAAATTTTGTTAATGATACTCATAGATCCAAAAGGATTACATTTAGTGCTGTTTGAATTAAGAATAATCGATTTGTTATTCATATAAACGCAGAACCAGTGCTAGGGCTCGTATGGCCATACCAGGCGACAGAATTTAGGGTAGATAAGGGAGGTGCTTGGTAGCAGAATTTAGGACTCACAGAGACTGCATCAGGCGGTAAGATATCTAGCGCCGGCCATCAGTGAGGCTTAAGTATATGTGGGAGTATATTTATTCAAAACTCTGATAAGCCTGAAGCATGTGCAAGAAATAGACGGAAGTATAATAATTAACTAAACTAATACAATTTAGGCTTAATTGTCTCAGTCTATGATAGTAGCAAGATAAAATTTAACGGAACAGGAGCATTTTCATTTGTCGTTAGTCTCCAAGCTCATGATGCATAAGCCCAGTATGTATAGTGGAGGATTGCTAAATTTGATGATGATAGCCACTATTTTTAAAGGTTTTCGGATATCACAAAACAGACGTGAAATTTTCCTATTAACAAATTTTGTAAAGAAATGTGGAGAAGCGGTAATAAATGAAGATGATATAAAAGAAGTTTTTCATTGTGATGACAATGTTTCTCAATGATCAATTAATTAATTAATGGCAAAATCTGTAGTATGGTTCTCGATCCAGAAAATACCGCTACCGATAGTGAAGAAAGTGACAGAGAAGTTACTGAAAATGAAAAAATTTCGACTGACAAGTTAGTCGGAATTCTTAAAACGGCAGTTATAGGACTTCAACAATGTAACTGAATAAGAGATTATGTCTGTCTACAGAATTAAAGAGAAAATATTAGCACAAAAAATTAAGCAACTTAAAGATCTTACATTGAAAGAAATGTTTAATAAGGTAAACAAATAAATATTAAGCTTTTTTTTTTTTTTTGGTGAATTTTGAGATGATCTAATATCTGGAAAAATCCGGAATTGCCGAAGTCCCATTGAGTCCAATTTGGGACTTTGTGCTGTATTATATACCGTATTGTTTCATATATACATGTTCATATAAGTTGTTTTTATGCATAAAATTTTCATGTTTTTTTCCACAGATTATGCTATTTTCTCATGGTCCCATTTTTCCTGCTGTCATATTTTTGATATACTGTGTTTTTGGTAACTATTCCTTAGATAACATGGTAGCAATTGCTCCAAAGGGTATGTATTTTTATTTAATGAGGTTATGCAACAAAATATTTTTAGAATTGTTATTCTTATTTTCTATGCATTATTATGACCCAGAATAATAATCTTGAATGAAAAAATTAATTAGAGCTGTAAGTGTGTTAGCATAATAATGTATGTATACAGTTAAAAGTCGTTAATTCGGACACCCATAATCCAGAATAATCTATATTCCGGACCTCGAAGCTACAAACTTTCTGCGCATGCATCGCGTTGACGCGTAAGTCCTTTATGGCTGCGCATATGCATGTGCGCATGCACATAATATGTTTATGCATGTGCTTTAATGTATAGCGGATGGTATAAGCTAAAATTATCTAATTATCTATTTCAGTTAATGTTGTAGATTGCGTTGTTCTTTAATCTTCGAATCTGATCCGGCTTATTATTTTTTGCAGACTGTTAGAGCAATTTTATAAAAGTAAGCTTGAACTTTCGATGATGTCAAATAGAATTTCCGATGCTGGTTCCCAAAGGATCACAAAGTGAAAGTAGTTTCGATGTCCATCAAACAAAAAGTAGAATTGCTGCAAAAAATGGATAATGTCATATTCTTTGATTCTCTAAACATTCCGAAATTTGTTTATCAATTTCACACAGCTCCGGGATGGGAAGGGGGTATGCAGCGCCCAATGAACTGGTAGTTGATCTGTCAGCACTATCCTCTTCTTCAGAGCAGATGTTTTTATTTTATTCAGCTTATAATTCCTTAATAAATGCAGTATTTCATCTCGATGTACTCCTTTGATATGATTTAAACCAAATTCTTCATCATTATAAATATCACGAATACACATCAAATAGTGAAGAAAGTCACACAGAGGTTATTGAAAACGAAAACATTCGATTGTTAAATTAGTCGGTATTCTCGGCACAGCAATTATAGTACTTGAACAGCGGAACTTTGTAACTGAACAAGAAATTATGTCTGTTTAATAGAATTAAAGAGAAAGTATTATCACATAAAACGAAGGAACTTAAACAACTTAAATTGAAAGAAATGTTTAATAAAGTAAACAAATAAATATTAAGCTTTTTCTTTTTGTAAATTTTGATACCCTTTAGATCATAATTGTTCTTTATTTCATAAATTATGGTTTCAATTTTTAATTTTATAATTTCTGCATGCCATCTTACCAGATTTAAACTGATGATCTATAATCCGGAATCGCCGAAGTCCTGACGAGTCCGGATTAACAACTTCTGACTGTAGTTTCAGTATAGTTTGACTGTGTCAAATGCAAGCTTAGCTGGCATTTTGCGAAAACACTTTGAATTGCCTAAAAGTGTCGTTAAATGCATGCTGCAGGGTGAGAGTGGTAACATGAGAGTTTTCTCTTCACCAGAATGAGAGAATTTACTATCAAGAGAGGGAAACTTGCCATGACATTGGGTGATTCTGCCTTCAGTTGCCTTTCCAGTCTTAGTTTCATATTCAAAGAAATAAACGCAAATATTTGTAGTGATTTGCAACCTTAGAAACCAAAAATATAAATTTTTGTTTTTCAATTTTATGCAAACAGTGTATATTTCATTGCTTATTTTTAAAAATGAACTCTGTAAAAATAATGAAACCATTTTTTTTTTAACTGAAGTGTTCTTTTCGTATTTTAATAATTAAATAAAATAAAAAAGAAGACTAACATGTTTCCACCCATTTGAGTGGGATTTCCACTGATCAAAGTTAATGTAATTTAAAGTAACATTTGCAAATATTGAGATCTTTTATGTAAGACCTTTTTTGTTCTTTTTTTCCTAAAATAAATTTGCTTTACCCTTCCTCCAAAATTCAAGTATATGCAATAATGCATATAGATCTAGAGTAAAAAAAAATAAAATAAATAAAAAAAAAAAAAATAAAAAATAAAATAAAATAAAAAATAAAAAAATTATAATATAATTATTGTAATTAACTAAGTTTAATAATCATTACTAGTGGAAGTACCTGATATCAGTTAAGTTAGACTGCGGGTAAGTAATATATCTAACAACAGAGGGAACAGTACCACTGTTGTGATCCTTCTCTAATTATTGCTGGTTCTGTTGTCTCTGCAATTGTCAGTTTGTTCTGCTCTCTTAAGCACACTGTTATCCTGCTTAAGGGGCAAATTGAGCAACCGATTTTCGCTCTAGTGTCATAATTGATTTCACAGCAAAAGTAACGTTTTGTGATGACTGTTACAAATTCACTTTCAAAAGCAAAGGAAGTGTGTGTAGGCAACAATTATTATTGGTCATAATAACTACAATGAAAGTGTAACCAGCAACTTTACGTTCATTCTTAGGAGTCAGATTTAGGACTCATTTTACCCCTGACACATATCCGCTGGATGGCTATAATTATATCAGCAGAGAGCTGCAGTGAAACAGAGCCTCTCTAACCAAGATTCCCCTCAATTTTTTTTTGTTCCCATCCACTCATTCCCTTACGCCCACATTCTGTTTCATCCTATTTCTAGCATTATCTGAATTTTCATTAGTTATACTTTAAGAATATTCAGTTTTTGTGCTGATAAAAGAACTTTTTCGCCCTATGATCCCTTGAAATTGTGCATTATATTGTACAGAAAATAAGTTTTTTTTCCCGAATCGCCTTTTGGAGGATTAGACTAATTCATCAAAACGAGAACGAGATGTATACAAGACAATATGTAGTATATTTTGCATTACTTTATTAAGAGACCTACAGTGTGTGACATATAGTGCAGCCTAAAGTATACTTCATTATTTTGTAATTTATCAATTAAATGTGATCTTATTTACATAATATGCACAAATATCCTGTATTATGTATAAAATTCGCTATTATGCACGGTTTTATGCATCTGTGGTAAACCTTGGGACATTCTATGAGCGAATACAGAGGCACTATGTATAAGTTGTTTTCTTTTAAATATTAAAATTATGTCATTATATGACATAATATGTCATATAATGACATAATGGCATAACATGCAATGACATAATATATAATGACAAAAAATGTCGTAATTTCAACATACTGAAGCCATTGTTAAAATATTATATTGTTGCAAAATCGGGTCGTTTTCTGAAGAATCGTTTTATCTAACAATACGGTAGGATCTAAATTCCCCCATCATACACACAAAATAAAAAATTATTTTAGCGACTTGCTACATATGCAGCTATACTGGTATTGCGTTCGTGGTGTATTATCTTAAACAGAAATATAACTTTTGAGCTAAAGCCCAAAGGGCTATTAATTTCGTTTTGGCATTTTGCATCAAATACTTTAAAAGTTTGAATCTATTTCCATATTGCTGCCACCAAATGTTGTCACTCTGTATTATATTAAAGAAATTCAATAATGAAAAATCTGCATAAATGTATATATGTTTCTCGCATTGTGATAAAACAACGGTACCTAGAGCCATCCAATTTTGAATGAGGTAGGTCTGCACTCGAATATGGGCATTTGGGAGCCCAAATTTGGAATTTGTTTTATTATCTATTTCATATTTTTAAAGCATATATCAGTTTTTGATTAGGAAACTCAACGATTTCAAAGTGATCAATGGCAACACTGGGGGGACATAGTTTTATCTCCAACTCGCGAGACTGTGTATCGAGAAATCTAAAGATACGCTCTTATTAAATTATTTTCGATACACCTGTTGAATTGAATTTTATAGTTTAAGTGCAAAGAAAATGGTATTTAATAAATGCAGGTAACACACAAAATGTTAAAAAAACGCCTGTTTAGGCGTAATATAAAATGTGAAAGCTTTCAGACTTTTTTTTTAAAGTATTTTCTTTTAAATTTTATTTCTTAAAGCTTAAAATCAGAAGCTGTATTATTATTAGATTATACATATTTTTTATTACCTATATCAGTTTATAGATAGTTTCGATTTTTTCTTTTTTAATTTTTACTTTTAATCTATCAACTATACAAAAAATTTGTTTCTGATAAACTTGAGATTTTGTACCTTTCATGACATTTAAATCTTTCAAACCTATGCAACTATGTGTAGATACTTATCGCCCGATAAATGTAAATATTATCACACAGAATTAGAAATTTTTAAAAAATTTCTGGAAACTTACAGTTGAGAGAAGGGAAATCTCGAAGTCATATATAATTTAAATTTTACATTAATAAATTTATTTCATATTATACAGTTATATTCAAAATGTCAGAGATGTTAAATTATAAAAGTTGTTTCGATTTATTTATTAATTCATCTGTAAGTTGCAAAAGAAATCTCTTAAAATTATTATGACATGACCGTTACTCTTAACAAAATTAAGCAAGCATTATTCTGAAGCATACAAATTTAAAGTAGCCGAAAGGCAAAACAAAAAATCATACTGAGTGACACATTGAGACACAGGACAAATAACTTGATACTTTACACCATAAATGTTTTATAGAAATTCCCATGTGTTAAAAACAACACCGTTTTGGAAGAAAGATCGGAAGATATGGGAACCTATTCAAATAAAGTCATGGTAAGGGGCACCCTCACTGGAAAAGACACTGGATAGAAATTTATAATGTAGGAGGGCTCCGTTGCTTAGTACAATAGTTGCATTGAAATGCACTGTTAATTGGCTGAACAGCAGTAGAATAAACTACTTTCGCTAACAACCTCTTTCGTTCGTTTTAATTGCACTTACTTCAGCACATTTCCTTCAGATATATAACGTATGTGAAACGGATTTTTAGAAATACTTGTTATTGAAACTTATAAAATAATGTCCAAACGTAAAATAAATGATTATTTCGAATGTAATCGAGAGGCCAGAGTAGGTAATATTATTAATGCGAATTCAGATATTGCAAATGATGATTATGAAGATGACTGGTGATACAGAAGGTGACAAAGATTATAGTTCTTACATTTCTCCAAAATGGGAACTAAGTATAGGAGAAATCAGTTTTGCTGACCAGCCAAGCTGCTGATCAATTCAACAAGGTAAAGGATTTTCGCAAAAAAACGACTGGTTTA